TTAGGCTATGGATCTTTCCTCGTTGGAAACAACTGTGATTCGAAAATTGACAACTACAAATTAAAGATGCATGTGAAGTAAAATCAATGACCCGGAATTAAGGACGGGTATTCTCAGAGTATCATCACTACTGTCCTATGTTGTCTCTTGCATTATTCCATGCTTCCGAAGCTGCCAAATAAATAAATAAATAAATAAAAAATAAATAGAATAAAAAATAATAAAATTTATTTAGAAAACTAGAGAATAAGACGAACAGGTTTAGAAAATACTGACCGGTTTTAGAAAGTCTCCAGTGGTAATCCCCATTGACAGCCCAGAAGAAGTGGCCGCGCAGCTTCAATTTCTTGGCAAAGTCAATCTTCACCCCAACCGACTGTACATCATCGTACCCAACCCAATCCAAACCGGACACCGAGTACGCAGACACAGTCTTGCTATCATAAACCTCAGTCGCATTAGTCAGATTCACGATCTGCCCGTACGTCATCGTTCCCTCATCCCCCATCCCCACCCCAACGGCCGGCGCCCCAATCCCTGTCTCGTTTTCCGACTTGAGCTTCCACGTCCTCCCGTACATCGGCAAACCCATCACAAGCTTCTGCGCCTCCACTCCCGCCTTCATCCACGACTCGACCCCGTAGCTCGTGCTCAGGTTCCTCCCGGACGGGTCGTAAAGCTGCGCGTGGGCGCCCGTGATGTTCGGTTCCCACGACGACCCGTGATAGTCGTAGTCCATCATGTTCACCCAGTCGAGGCTCTCCTGGATGGCGCGTGCCGGGAAGGACCTGTTGGAAAATCAGTAATATAAAATTTGGGTATGACTCGGTTTTCACTGATTAATTAATTATGTCTAAATATTTAATTCGGGCGTGTAGAAAAAAAAAAATCTACGTTCCGAGCAGATACTCGTGATATATTTATTTTCTCATCAAGTTCATAGGTTTTCCCGTTGTAATCGAAACACATTATTGTGTAACAGGGCCTTGACGGACTGGACAGCGCCATGTGTGCCGCGTAATACACATTTAATTGGGGTTGAATTAAATTCTGTAGAAAAAAATTTTCTACGTTTCGAGTAGATATATTTATTTTTTCTCAAGTTCATAGTTTTCTCATTGTAATCGAAACACATATTGTATAACAGGACCTTGACGGACTGGACAGCGTCATGTCCGCCGCGTAATACACGGCGGCAGTGATGAGGAGCCGCTGCCTGGAAGGCCGCTGCTTGGCCTCGCGCTCGACGGCACTGCGCCACTCCCGGAACAGGCGCCCGAGGTTGTTCATGTCGGATGGGGTTCGGGGGAACTCGTAGTCGAGGTCCATCCCGCAGAAGCCGTAGTCCCGTGCCAAAGATATGGCCGAGTCGATGAAGGCTTTGCGGGTGGAGTGGGCAGAGGCCATGCGGGAGAACAGGGTGGGGTCCGCGCCCCCGCCGCCGATGGAGAAGAGTGGGGCCGCAGGGGGGTTTTTGGCGTGGAGGGTTGAGGTGAAGTTGCGGAGGGAGGCGGCCTGCTGGGGCGTGATGTTGTCGAAGGTGAAGGTGAGGTTGTTGGGGACGAGGAAGGCGTAGAAGATGTGGGTGTAATGGGTGGTGTTGATTTCGTCCGGGCGCATGTTGCGGGCCCAGGAAGGGTAGTAGCCGCCTTTGACTAGTGGTGGTTGAAGGGGTTTGGAGAGGGAGGAAGTGAAGAGAAGTAGTGAGAAGTAAAGTGTGGTGGTGGTGGGAATTAGTGTGCCGGCGGCCCCCATTGGTAATTGTATATATGCAACACTATTGTGTGTGTGTGTGTGAGTGTTAGTGGTGGGAAAAAGAGGATTGTATGCAAGAATATATATATAGTGGGGAAAGTGTGGAATGAGGACACTCAACTAATGAAGTCATACGTCCAACACTATTGCACCTTTGAAAAAACTGTTCCACCATTGAAATGGACGGATTTGTTTGTCGGATATGGTGTTGGACCATTGAGATAGACGGATTTGTTTGTTTGATATGGTTGAAACGGTCAGAAGCACACGCGTCTTCATCGAGGCTTCAATAGAAAAAGGGAGTTTGATCGGATAAATAATAGGGACAATTTTTTTTTACACATATATAGGAATTATGTGTCATGTACAAGTAAGAGATATTAATAAGAATCAGGAAAACAAGTACGATAATCACATGCACGTGAAGTGCATCATAAGAGGATGAGCCTAGGTGCACCTCAGTGAGGTTCTATCCTAAAATCATATTCTTTATCCCAAAATCATATTCTTTCGTGGGCTTGAATTTCGTACGAAGGACTCGTAAGTGAGGGACGTATTAGAATATCACTTGCCAGTTGTTACACATCCATTCTATAGGGAAAATGAACCTAGATTATAAGTCTAATGAGTTACTCTTCCTATCACCAAATTGGATTTAGGATGAAACCTCACTAAGGTGCGCCAAGACTCACCCTTTTATGGTACGCTTCTTGTGCACGGGACCGTACCCGTTTCTCCTTATTCTTTCAATATTTATCAATAAAAAATGCTCATTAACTGACATTTATACATCAGAAATGTGGAATCAATATGTAATGTAATTTAACTATATTAATTTATTAAAAATTTATATTAAATTTAAATTGTGCAAAACTACATAAAATGTATCTGTTTAAAATTAGTACACAAATCGTACAGTGCACGTAATTGATAATAAATTACATTATATTCATTTTAAAATTTTTATTCAGAAATTCAATTTGACTAAAATGTGATTCCATAAAATAATTATTTTGGTTAAATTTTATCATATATTTAAAAATCTATTTAAATAGTAAATCTAATTATAAAACTTATATTGTTTCATTAATTAAAATGAATTTATTTTTTATAAATTATCCTCCCGATGGTGGCTGCGGACCCTTTTTTTCCCGATCTAGGGATTGGGGTGGAGATGTCGCCTCTGGCCATTTTGCTCTCCTCAGTTCTAGTGTTGGGCGGAGGAGTCGGCTGTCAATGGTGGCTGCGGGCTAGGTTGTTGTGCTCGAGGTCCGAGTCGGTGTTGACGTCTAGGTGGTCTTTGGGGGTGCTGGTCTCTAGGTCTTGTGGTGTTATCCGTTTGGACGAAGGTTGGGTCCGATGGTACCCGACCCAGTTAGGCGTCTTTTTGCAGTTTCTAGGTCAAGCTCATGAGCCGTGACTCTGCCATTGTTGTGCTTGGTGAGGCTTCTTGTTGCAGGAAGGGCTGTAGTAGCAGTAATAGTTATAGTGTTGTTCTAGTCGTATTTTTTTAGGTTGTGTTTTTAGTTTTTCTCTTCCGTTAGGAGTGTGTTTGGTGTATTCTCCTTTTGAGAGTTTTTTTTCTCCTTTTGGGAGGTTTCTGGAGTTTTCTTTTGTGTGTAGATTGGTTCTAGGCTACCATCAGTGTAGCTCTCCCAACTAGAGTCAATTATTTAGCTTTCTTATTAGGCCGTGTGGCTGTTGATTCGACTGAGTAGTTGTTCTCTTGTGCTGTTTTCTTTTGTGTTTATATATAAAGCTCCTATCGTTTCGAAAAAAAAAAGAGAGAGTAATTTAGTAAACTATAAATATTGGTTATTCCATTTACATCTAAGTTAATATTGTTCGGTAAGTTATGAATAATTTATTATTTGAGTTTTACATTTGGAACCCAAATTTGGACTAAATATATTATCTCGCAATTTTCTAGATTTGTTGCCGGATACTTCATTGTTTAAATTTATCGCATAGGCTACAGAAGCTTGGGGGAGAGATCTCCTTATTGGATTTCCGCTTGGTGGTTTTTGCCGATACCACGGCAATCTTTGGTTAATATGAGTTAGCCTGCTAGATCGAAGGACTCTTGTAAAGAAGTTGCTGAACCAGTTGAATCAAGTTGCACCGATATACCGGGAAAAAAATCTTTTTGATTTTCTAGAATAATACATATCAATTTTTTAAGTATCATTAATATCATTTGGCAAGAAAATATGCTAAAATTTGAGAATCATATCACCTTAGTTGTATAAGAAACCAACCTAAAATTCGACTTTTATACTTTTACCAAATAAAATTCATACCCTTTTTTTCTTTTAATTTTAAAATTTTCAAATATACCAAATAAAATTCCTAATATTTTAATTGAGATATTTCATACCAAAATAAAACTGCCACTTTATACCATAAATTCGGATATTTATTAATAACAACACATTTCCCAGCAAAAATAGAAATGACCATCATATATCTCAAATAAAACGCGCACTTTATACCATAAATTCGGACATTTATTAATAACATCACATTTTCAACCAAAAATAAAAATGGCCATCATATATGGTTTTTGGTGACATTACTTTAAAAAAATATAAGAATATTTTATTTTTTATTTCTTACGTATATCTTTTGAGATTCNTATTTGAATTATTTATTTATTAAAAAAAAATAACTGGACAAAAATAAAAAGAAAAAAAATTGCGGATAAAAATAAAAAACACGTATTCTCATAATATGTTTTTTTAATTATTTTTTTTTAAAAAGTATTTTGGTAATACGTTTTAAAATTTTATTTGTAAAATGTAATTTTTTAAACAATTGAAAAACAGTATAAAACGTATTCCAATAATATGTTTGAAAAAAAAAATTAATAAATAAAACGTATTTTGATAATACGTTTTATAAATAATTAAGAAATAAAACGTATTATCAAAATACGTTTTATAAATAATTATAAAATAAAACGTATTTTGATAATACGTTTTATATTTTAAAATTAATGAAAAAAATTAATATGCAGTACGTATTTTGTGTTTTGGGCTCGTCTGAACTCGGAATTGAGTTCCGTTTTTACCTATACGTAGCTAAAGAACCTCTCTATTCAATGATGCTTGCATGATCAAGTTATTCTTGAAATCATATTCTCCCAAAGCATTTGTTCGATACATTAAACGTGTTTCGCGCAACTTTGCTTTTTGGGCCCGTTCGGACTCGCCCAAGCTCGAAATTGATTTCCGCTTCTTCCTATATGTCGCCAATGAACCCTTCTACACAACCATGATTTTCTGGTCAATTTTCGGGCTAAATCTATTTCTCACGGGCTAAATAATTAACAAATCACCCATTATATAAATAGATGGTCCATGGAGGATTTGTTAATGGGTGATTTGTTAATTATTTAGTCCCGTGAGGAATATATTTAGCCCAAAAATTGACCGGACAATCATGGTTGTTGGCGATATATAGGAAGAAGCGAAAATCAATTTCGAGCTTGGACGAGTCCGAACGGGCCCAAAAAGCAAAGTTGCGCGAAACACGTTTAATGTATCGGTCAAGAGCTTTGGGAGAATATGATTTCAAGAATAATTTAGCCATGCAAGCATCATTGAATAGAGGGGTTCGTTAGCTACGTATAGGAAAAAACGAAACTCAATTTCGAGTTCAGACGAGGCCAAACGAGTCCAAAACACAAAACACATACTATATATTAATTTTTTTATTCATTAATTTTAAAATTTTAAACGTATTATAAATATACGTTTTAGTTTTTAATTGTTTGTAAAACGTATTTTAAAAGACGTTTTACAAATAACTAAAAAAATTATTTGTTTAATGCTTAATTATTTATAAAATGTATAACTAAAATACGTTTTACTTATTATTTTTTTTTCAAAATGTATTATATGAATACGTTTTATTCTAATTTAACAGTAAAACGTATTACGAGAATACGTTTTACACTTTCAAACGTATTTTCAGAATACGTCCTTTTTATTTTTGTCTATATTTTTTTCTTGTTTTTGTTTTTGTCCACTTAATTATTTTTATTTTTGTTTAAATAAATAAATCTTCGATAGTATATATATGCAAATAGCATTAAACGTCTTACTAAAAAGAGCAGACAATCACTAAAAAAGTTTCTCTCCGATAATATCTTGGTGAATCTCCTTTTTATCTTAACATATGATTTTGTATTAAATGCGTTTCATTAAAAAAAAAAAAGTTAATATGTTTATTATGAGTTATGTTGAGGTAACAGTTTTTTCCCCAATCATATGAGTAATACTGAGTATGTAGGCTTGGCTTCCACTTAACACGTATAAATGTGAAATTTATTAAAGAGGAAAATCAACATTCAACGTGTAAAATATTCTATCCAACAAAGAAAAGTTTCATATGATAACTTTTACGATTTATTCATAAATAGTTGTTTGAAAAGTTCAAATATGAAAATAAGGTTTACTTTTAAAGGGAAGTTTCTTTAAAAATTCACAATCTTAATTTAATCTTTCAAGTGAGTCTTTAGTAATAATTTTTATTTATTTTACTCCCTACCCTCTAATCATCTTCTATTTAAATCCCTCCTATTAAAAAAATGACAAAGAAATTTATATATAACATCATTCTACTATCTACATTATTAAATTATTTTTGTTACCTAAAACACTTCTTCCCCACTTTCTTCTCCATTCTTCTTTCCCGCTTTTTCTTCTTCACTGCCGGCGTGATATTTTTTATTTTCGCAGCTTCATCTCGCTGGCGATTACAAACCGGACCCTGGGGCTTTTATCGGAGGCAACAAATCCGGCGACCTTAAGGCTTTTTCCGGCCGAAAGTCCCTGTTTCTCCGGCCAAAAATTGCTACTTCTCTGTCCGAAAGTTCCTATTTTTCCGGCGAAAACTTGAAGTAATAAGTAATGTATGTATTATATGAGAACTATGGAGTCTAAAAATCGTCTTTAATTCATATGTTTTTGTTTGATTTGTGAAGGATTGAATTTTGAATATTGTTGTCTATATTTACCCTAAAACAAATAAAGTGATCATAATCCTTTTTTTTTGTTCATGTATACTAAATTTATGCTATTGTTAGGTTATGTTAGGTGTTATTGACCATAAAACAAAAAAATATGGTGAGAATAATC